TGGTACAACTTTGTAGAGTTGTGTCGGTACTTCGCCTTGTTGGCTTATATATAATTGTAATGCCTACCATTATTTAGGATGATTCGATAGATTTTTCACTTTTATGTTATTTCTCATTACTTTGGTTTGTTTTTTTTTTTCATAAGATGAGTGTCTTGGGTATCCACCACTCTACTTCCAATGTAGTGGTAAGATCTTCATAAATTTTTTCCCCACTTTATGAGATAACACTGATATGCTGTTGTTATTATTCTTAATCATTGTTGTATGATAGTATTTTTTTGAATTAATACCAAGTGAGTATAATACATTGAAAAAGTGGATCTTCAATTCTAAATATGAAAAGTGAGTTTAAATCAAATAGTTATTATTTAAAAACTTGAAACATTAGAAAATCAGAACCGTTGCAAAATGAATTTCATAGATATGTTGTTGTTTTAATATATATTGTTTGACATGTGAGTTTAAATCAAATGGGTGTTGTTGAAAACACTTGAAGCATTAACAAGCCACTATTATTGCAAAATGATTTTGTTAGACATGTAATTGCTATAACAAATTGATGATTGAGATTTTCTTATGATAACTAATACATGTATAACTAAACTCTGGATAACTAAATCTACATAACTAATATTCATATTATTAATACCTGCATAATTCTATTCAGCCACCAAACGACTCCCCAGTACATGACCTCTTACTGAAACTTTGCTTAGCAAGGGAGGAGTTAGCTATAATATGAGAAAAGTTAAAAATGGACTTCAATTAGATTTTGAATTTTAACATAAAACAAAAAAAATAATACTAAATCGTATTTTTTACTAAATTATGTTATTATCTTATCAATATTAATAAAACCATTTATTCTCTTATTATATAAGAGGGAGTTTATGATGGGACATTGTGATGTCCAATCATAAACTCCCTATATAATATATAATATATAATATAATAAATCATTTTTTCTACTATATAATATATATTTATTTTTCTACTATAAGGGAGTTTATATAATATATAATAATATAATATAATAAATCATTTACAAATGACTTAAAATATTTCATATTTAAAGGATATATAATAAAATAGGTTCACTCTCAAAATTCTATCCGAGTCACATATATTGGGACAGAAAAAATAACATATATCATTTTAAAATTACCAAAAAAAGTATTATAAATAATAATAATTAACAACTTAAAATATCTTAAAGACATTTTAAAATGGTTAATTTTGTAATTGTAATTCTACTATTATATAAGAGGGAGTTTATCATGGGACATTCTATGTGTCCCATCATAAACTCCCTATATAATATATAATATAATAAATCATTTTTTCTACTATATAATATATATAATATATATTTATTTTTCTACTATATAATAAAAGGGATTTTATATAATATATAATATCATAATAAAACCCCTTTTATTATATAGTAGAAATAAATATAATATATATATATATATATATATATATATATATATATATATATATATAATATAATAAATCATTTACAACTGACTTAAAATATTTAATATTTAAAAGATATATAATAAAATAGGTTGACTCTCAAAATTCTATCCGGGTCACATATATTGGGACAGAAAAAATAACATATATCATTTCAAAATTATCAAAAAAGTATTATAAATAATAATAATTAACAACTTAAAATATCTGAAAGACATTTTAAAAGGGTTAATTTTGTAAGTTTATCCATATCACATAAATTAGGACAAAATGACCAGCAATGTAAGTTATTTGAAAGTTACATAAAAATATTATAAATCACAATAATTAATAACTTAGAACATTTTTTTTTTAAATGCAAATTTCGATGACTCTTCAAATTTCATTTGTGTCACATAAATTGAGACAACAAAAATAACATATATTGCGTCCATTTTAATTTATTTGTCTTAATTTTTTTTATATTTAAAAATTGCGTAAAAATACTATAAATCATGATAATTGACAACATAAAATATTTCAAAAATAAATACATATAAAAAAATTCGATTAATTCTTGAAATTAATCTATCGTTAAAAATTATGTATAAAATACAATAAATCGTGATTTTGACCACTTAAAATATTTATTAAAAAAATAGAAAAAATTAATTGACTGATTGTTAAAATTAATCTATCAATGTCACATAAAATGAGACAAAAGTAGTAATATGTATTGTTTAATGTGAAATTATTGAAAACTACGTAAAATGTATTATAAATGTTAACAATTAACAACATTTGATTGAATCTTGAAATTTTATCAATGCTACATACATTGAGACAAGTGGAGTAATATATATTAAGTATTTAAAAATTACGTACAACCATATTGCTTTCTGTAGGCTTCGAATTATCGTGGTCATTTTTTAGGCTGATACAAGTTTTGTACTTTTTTTTTTAATATTATAAATCGCAATAATTAATAATTTAAAATATTTTTAAAAATATATTTAAAATTTAGTTGGTTTCGGGAATTTTATTTATACTATATAAAATGGGACAAATGAAGCAACATATATCATTTACAAATGACTTAAAAAACATTAAAAATTACAATAATTACCAATTTAAAATATTTAAAAGCTATATAATAAAATAGGTTCACTCTCAGAATTCTTTCAAGCACACATATATTAGGACAGAAAAAATAACACATATCATTTTAAAATTACCAAAAAAGTATTATAAATAATAATAATTAACAACTTAAAATATCTTAAAGACATTTTAAAAGGGTTAATTTTGTAATTTTATCCATATCACATAAATTAGGACAAAGTGACCAGTAATGTTGGTTATTTGAAAGTTACATCAAAATATTATAATCACAATAATTAATAACTTAAAACATTTTTTAAAAAAAAATTAAAATTTGGATGACTCTCCAAAGTTTATTTGTGTGACATAAATTGAGACAACAAAAATAACATATATTGGGTCCATTTTAATTTATTTGTCTTATTTTTTTTTGGGTTTTTTATATTTAAAAAATGCGTAAAAATATTATAAATCATGATAATTGACAACATAAAATATGTTTTGAAAAAAAATACAAAAAATTCCACTCATTCTTTAAGTGAATCTATCGTAAAAATACTATAAATTATGATAATTGACAACATAAAATATTTCAAAAATGTTGTATGTGGATAGTCTTATTGTGACTTGAATAACGTCAAATAAAGTACAAGTTTGTGATAAAAAAACTTATTCCTTTATCCACGCAAACAATCGCTTCAAAATCTCCGTTATTAGCCCTAAAACATACCATTTATATTATTGGGCCCGTGCCCGTGCATAGCACGGGCAACATTACCTAGTTTATATATAAATCTTCTAAAAATATAGTATTATTTTTTTCCAATTAGGCCCTCAAATTTCGGGAAAATTAATTAAGGGTTATAGAAAAGTTTCAAAATTAGGGATTGGTGACTCAAGTTTTAATTATTGAGTAGGGGTGACAATTTTTAAATTAAGAATTAAGGGATTGCATTTTTTATCCCTAAGTTTTTTTATTTAAACTTTAGTCCATCTTATATAAAATCCTAAATAATAAGAAATGGAGGGAAAAAAAGTGTACCAACGGCTCAGTTTTTCCTTTTCTCTCTTGCTTATTCTTCCATTGTTGCTGCTCTTCTTCTTCATTCTTCTTCTCCATCATCATTCTTCTTATTCTTCTTCTTCTTCTTCTTGTTCATCACCATCTTCTTCTGGTTGTTCATCACTTTTTTCTTCTTCAGTTGATAATCACATTGTACTGCTGCTTTCAGACGAATTTTCATTCATATATCATTGCACACTACATCATAGGTGATTTTGGTAAGTACACTAATGATTTTTACTCTAATTTTTTATTTTGATAGTTTGAGTGTTTCTTCAAAATTTTACAGTCGCGTACCCAACATGTAAGTCATCTATTGCAACAGATAGATTACCTGTTGGATACATATTACAGTATCATGTCAAGCTGGGATTGAACCAGAAGTTTCTCCCAACAGATAAGTCATTTATTGCAATTGATGTGTCATCTGCTGCACCAGATGACTCGTCTGCTGCAACAGAGGGCTTACCTGTTGGATACGTATTACAATATCAGACTAAGCTGGGAAAGAACTAGAAGCTTGTCACAATAGATGAGCCATTTATTGTAACATATGAGTCATTTGCTGCACCAGACGACTCATCTGTTGCAACAAATGGCTTAACCGTTGAATACATGTTACAGTACTAGGCCAAACTAGGACAAAATCAGAAATTTGTCCAAACAGATAAGTCATATATTGCAACATATCAATTACATGTTTCAACAAATCAATTACTTGTTGCAACAAATGACTCATCTGTTACAACAATTGACTTACATGTTGGATAAAGTTCTGGTTCTGGACATGTATCCAACAAGTGAATTATCAGTTGCAACAAGTGAATCATCTGCTGCAACGGATGACCTACTTGTTGCAATAGATGATTGACTTGTTGGGATAATGATTGTGCATATGATTTTTAACTGTATATAGCCACTCAACTTTACTATACAATCATTTTTAAATATTTTTAATAAATTCCTTTAGGTACCATTAATGGAAGAATCAATAACAATAGCTGTTGATTGTTATGGTGAATGGATTGTGAAAAACAATCGATTTATTTGGCGTTGGAAGGTTGGTGACATGTCAGAGTCAATATTGATGACCGTTCAAAGGGATATTTTGTATAATGATTTTGTGAACTCAATCATTAGCTATTGTGGACTAAATTGTCAACCAAATGATCTTGTCATCAGTTACATGCACAAGTCTTTTGAAAATCAGAGGGTCCTGCCTTTTAAGAAAAGCAATCAACTTCGTTTGAGTGCTTATTTGAGTGATGCAACTCTGTCCGTTTTAAGGGTGTACGTTGTTGAAAAATCGATAGAGAATGAAAATGTAGGATAAGACCAACAAAATCTGTTAAATGATGAATTGAATGAGATGAACATGAATATTCTAGATGATGAGATTGGACATGATGTGGAGGAGGACCAGACACCTACACTTATTGTTGATGTAGGGGACAGTTCTCAGTTAAAACAGTTGAACAATCTTCAATATGATGAGACAGGTTTTTACATAGGAATGACATTCAAGAACAAAGACGAACTAGTCACTTCATTGCATATTGCTTGCTTGAAAAAAGATTTCAGACTTGCAAAGGTGATTAATTCGCGTAGTGTGTATTGTTTTAAATGCGCATATCCAGAGTGCAAGTGGTGGTTGAGGGCTGTGAAATTCAAAAGTTCTGACAGATTTTGTATTAAAATTTATAAAAAGTATCACACATGTGGTTCAGAGCATATTACGAGTCATAATCCACATGCCACAGCAAAAGTCCTTGGTAAATACTTCAAAAATAGCTTTCCTAATGGTAAAGGTCCATCTACAAGAGATATGACCAATAAACTCCGTACAGAATTGGGTTGTAAGGTGAGTTATTGGAAGATATATAAGGGTAGGGAGATTGCAAAGTCTTTGGTTAGGGGAACACATGAGCACGGGTATGGAGTGCTTGATGCATACCGTTATATGCTTGAGTCCGCAAATCCAGGAAGTAACGGCATTGTAGGTTGATGAAAATGGAAAGTTCAAGTACTTTTTTGTAGCATATGCGGCTTGGATTCAAGGTTTTCAACAATTGAGAAAAGTCATAGCCGTTGATGGGACATTCTTGAAGAGCAAGTATGAAGGAGTTTTACTATCGGCGGTGGCGCAAGATGCAGAGAATCATATTTTTCCAGTGGCTTTTTGTGTAGTGGATAAAGAATGTGATGCCTCATATCAATATTTTTTTGAACAAATGAGAAGTTATGTAGATTATACCGATGAGCTGTGTATAATTTCTGATAGGCATTCAAGTATTCGAAAGATGGTTCCAATTGTGTATCCATCAGCTCATTATGGTTGTTGCATGAGGCACCTTGGAGAAAATATTCGAAACAATTTTCACAATGCAAAGGTCGTATCTCATTTTTATAATGCAGCGAAAGCGTACAATAAAGTTGAGTTCTATGACCATTTCAATCAAATAAGGGATATGGTACCCAAAGTAGCCGAACATCTCGAATCAATTGGATTTCATAGATGGAGCAGGGCATTTTGCCCGGGAAATAGGTACAATATTATATATTGAGTATCTTGTTTAAGTTTAATATAATTATATATCTTATTAAGTTATTTTTTTTATAGGTATAATATTATGACCTCAAACATTGCTGAATCCGTGAATGCAATGTTTGAAGTTGAAAGAGAATTTCCTATCATCGCTTTGTTTGACGAAATAAATATGAGATTTGCAAAATTATTTCACGAAAGGCGTATGGAGTTGGTCAACTCACCAAACATATTTGTTCCTTCAATGGAAAAACAAATATCAAAGAATATCAATTTGGGAAATAAGTTATTGGCCCATCAAATAGCCAATTACAAGTTTAGTATCAACGGTCATGGTGATGTTGCCACGATCGATCTTCAAAGAAGAATGTGCACATGTAGAGTTTTTGACTTGGACAAAATACCTTGTCCACATGCTATGGCAGTGCTTCGATCCCAATATGGTGCACATTTTGGAAATCAGATCTATGAGTACTCGTCTTCATATTATTCGGTGGAAAAATACATAATTGAATATTGTGAGGAAATTAATCCGGTGCCTCCTAAAGATTCTTGGATTGTTCCTTTGGAGATATTGGAGAGAGAAATACCTCATCCATATGTTGACCCAAGCAAACCGGGAAGAAGGCGAACAAAGAGGAGGCGTGGAGTCGGGGAATCATTTCCAACAAGAAAAAATAAGTGTTTAATATGTAAAAATATTGGACACAAGAGAACAACATGCCCGGTTCGAAATGCTTCATAATTATTGTAATAGTGAAATAACTATTTTGTACTTAGTTATGAATATGATAATTGTAATTCATTTTGGCTAATTTTGTATGTTCAGACTTATAATATACAATATACTAGTTATGCTCATTCGTTGCAACAAACTTTACATATTTTGCATTAGATGCATTATTTATTGCATTATTTATTGCAATACATAATCCATCTGTTGAAAATAATCAAATAAATATGATTGTCTGTTGCAACAATTATAGGAATCAGTTACAACAAATATCTAATATGTATTATCTGTTGCAATAGATGACTCATCCGATGGAAATAATCAAGCATATATACTCATCTGTTGCAATATATGAGCATCAGTTGCAACAGATGAGCATATATGTTTGATCATTTTCAATTGACTTTATATTTTTTTGATATGAAATGCTTCATTAGTCCATAATTAGTGATAAATAAAGTTTTTTAATTATAATTATCTTTTAATTAATAAGTTCAATTACATTATAGAGTAATTACATGATCAACTAACTGTATTCGTCTTAATTAAAGTGATCAATTGATTATTTTGATATGAAATGCTTCATTAGACCATAATTAGTGATAAATAAAGTTATTTAATTATAATTACATTTCAGTTATAAGTTTAATTATAATCTCAATGCATTATAGAGTAATTACATGATCAACTAACTGTATTCGTCTTAAATAAAATGATCAATTGATTATTTTGATATGAAATGCTTCATTAACCCATAATTAGTGATAAATAAAATTATTTAATTATAATTACATTTCAGTTATAAGTTTAATTATAATCTCAATGCATTATAGATTAATTACATGATCAGCTAACTGTATTCGTCTTAAATAAAGTGATCAATTGATTATTTTGATATGAAATGCTTCTTTAACCCATAATTAGTGATAAATGAAGTTCAATTATAAGTTCAATTACAATAGATAACCTATCTATTGCAATAAATAACACATCTGTTGAAAATAATCAAATAAATATGATCATTTGTTGCAACAAATATCGAAATCTGTTACAACAAATGTCTAATATGTATTATCTGTTGCAATAGATAATCCATCCATTGAAAATAATCAAGCATATATGTTCATTTGTTGCAATGGATGATTCATCAGTTGCAACAAATGAATTACGACATTTTATAACCTGTTGCAACATATGTTTCAATAGTATAATTTAACTTTTTACAAATCTAAAAATAAAATAGAATTCATGATAAAATAACTGAACATCTATATAATATAAAATATTATCATCGGCAATTACAAAATATGATTAACTAAACATGTTAAGTGTTCATGAATTACAATTCATATAAAAATTTTCAGCTTACAAAATAGAATTCATGATAAAATAACTGGACATCTATTAAATATAAGATATTGTCATCAGCAATTACAAAATATCAGGTTCTTCACCTTACAAAATATGACTTCAACAATTCAGATCATCTACAACTTCTGCTGCTCTTCTATGGCTTCTGAAGATGACTCAACATTGCAAGGAAGGGGAGTAGTTGCAATTTGTTGTCTTTTTTTCATATTTGATAATATCTTGGAAATTGATGGAATAACACCTCTCTTAGATATCAATTTCTTAACAGCACTAGTAAGAGCATCAAGAGACTTCTTCACATCTTCACCAGTAGATATTAACTTACCCTCTTTGTTTTTGTATTCTTCACATTTACATGCAGAACATGAGCTAGAAGAAGGATCAAAATATGTGGTATGTCCACTGAAAGGGGTGAATCCACCATATATACCACCATCATCATCAACATGCTCACCACCACTTTTAGCACCAACATCACCAATATCAACATCAATATTAACATCAACATTAACATCTAATGCAACATCATCAGCATCACCAGAAACAATAGGTGCTTCACTTCTGATCGTTGTTGCTCCAGCCAATGCTTTTTTTATTAGATCCACTATAGGGTCTGATTTAGTGTCAATAATTTCTAGAGTTAAAAAGAATGGCATTTGCAACTCTTGCTCTGTGGGAACAAGCCATGGATGTAGAATTTATAATAAAAAATAACTTATATTAAAACTAATCTATAAGTTATAATAGATAAAATATTTATTGTAATATTTACCTATATATTTTATTTCTAACAGATGACCCATATGTTGCAATAGATGAGCCATCTATTGGAAGAAAACAAAACAGTAGTAAATGATCATTTTTTTATACAACAGATGACTCATATGTTGCAGCAGATAGGTCATCTGTTGGAAGTAAGCAAAACAGCAGCAAGCTATTGAGATTTCGTCCAATAGACGACTCATTTATTGCAACAAATCGGTAAGTTGTTGGACGAAAGCAAAACAGTAAAAAAAGATTGAGATTTTATCCAATATATGACCTATCTGTTGTAATAAATAGGTAAGCTGTTGGACGAAAGCAAAACAACAAAAAAAAGATTTAGATTTTGTCCAATATATGACCTATTTGTTGCAACAAATAGGTCATCTGTTGAACCTAAATAAAATAGCAACAAATGATAAAGTTTTCATCCAATAAATGACACATCTATTGCAACAGATCAGTCATTTGTTGGACAAAATCAAAACAGTAGCAAACTGTTATGTTTTCTTCCAACAGATGACCCATCTATTGCAATAAATGATTATAGATGAGTCATATATTGGGAGAAAACTAAACGAAAGCAAAACAGATAATCAGTTAATTTAAATAAATATTATTCTATGGAAGACTTACTATATCATGAAGAGGATCGAAGAGATCAACAAAATTTATTTTTGGGTTGTTCTTGGAAGACAATCACCTAAGAAACCTTGGCTGAGAAATTACTTTCGAGTAATCATTGAATTGCTTCAAATGCCCAAGCCTAAAAATATAAAGATGATGAAAGTAAACATTTAAAATAATTATTCAATAACACAGATAAATAAAATACTAAAATTAGAGGTGAAGTTTACCATGAAAGCCCAAGGAAAGCCATATAAATTGTTAGTCTTCGGTGATAACTTTGACATCAAATACTCGACAGTCAAGAAATAACTATTATTACCCCATGGGTAATTATTGAATGCATCCAAATCTTGAGCAAGCACAAACAAACTAAGATCTATGACATTGTTGATGTCTTTAGCCCATAAAATGGCATGCACAAACCAAACTAAGCACAATCGCTCTTTGTGCTTCTTTAAAACCTTTTTGCTTTGGAGATCTTCTATCAAATCTTTGGCTTTATAACTAGGTCCAATAATAGCCAACAACTCATTTTCATTACTTAGTTTTTCTTTGCCTTTGTTGGTTTTGGTGTTGACTGTCTTGACTGGCTTTTTACCTTTCTTGCCAACCTTGACTGATTTAGATATCTTTTTTTCTCTTGGCTTTCTTAAGCGTGCAACTTTAGGAAGAGGTTCAGAAGGAGAATGACATCTCAGTCCAGTCACTATGGCAAATTCTTTCATGCCAAAAACAAACTGGCATGCCACAGTAGTTTATCCAAATCTCATCCATTTTCTTGTTCTTATTCTCCAAAGCATCATCATCAGCTCCCTTATACTTGATCCTGCGCTTGAGAAGATCATACACCATGCTCATTTGAAAATGTGCATTGTTAGCCTTCGGCAGATAAAAAAAGTATCCAAAACAGCTAGACTTAAAGAAATCCTCCAACTTTTCATTCATCAATATCGTTCTAAAAGCATCAAATTTGGCACCCATGGCTGATTTTACAACAAAATCACCTGTCAAATTTGTAGGGTCATCTATAGGCATCTCTACCTGAAACTTGTCAATATTAAAATTTTTGACAACATCTTGATCTCCTTCCTCACTTTCAGTATCATCTCCTTCATCACTTTCATTTTCATCTCCATCCTCTTCATCTCCTTCCTCACTTTCAGTATCATCTCCTTCATCACTTTCATTTTCATCTCCATCCTCTTCATCTCCTTCCTCACTTTCTTTTTCACCTTCCTCCTTATCTTCTTTATCATTTTTAGTTTCTTCATCATCTCCATCTTCATAATTTATTTCCTTTTCTTCGTCATTTTTATTTTTATCTACCTCCTCTACAATTTTCATATTTTCATTTTGTTTCTGTACAACAAGTTCTTCCAATGTTGTTTGTACTTTAGCTACTTTACTTGATTTATCAAAGACTGATTCACTTGTTTTTCTTTTGGAAGCCATTTTTCTACAAATAGAAAAAATGAAAAATTTATAATCAATTGTGCATCATTAAAAAAAGATAGCAATAAATTTAATAAATCCAATATAATATAATATTCTATAGATAATTCATTTGTTGCAACAAATAACCCATCTGTTGTAACAAATATGTCATCTATTGCAACAGGGGAGGCCCTAATGTAGTTAATTTCAAAAGATAAATATAAGATAAACTTTTTACCAGAACTAGGACATTTCATATACTTATATTGTCTAGGCATTACAAGGTTCAACAAAAAAGTGCATGTTGAATTCTTTACCTACTTCAACCATAAAAGCAAACTAACATCTCTTCAATTAAAACCTTGTTTAGAGCAAGAAGACTAACTCCCAAAACTTGCCCTTTTTTTCTTTTTTTTCTAATAGTGATGTTTAGATCAACTTGCATGCATTTCAACAAAGTATTCATTACTAAGTTCAATTACTTTGCCTGATTTGTCTATACAGATGAAGCATGACATCAAGCTTGCTAATTTATCCAACAAGAGGAAGACACAAAGTAGTAACCCTTAGTTACACAATCAGGTAAATAGTTATGGGAAGCAAAGTTATGATTTTGTATCATATTAGTATAAATTAAGCCAAAAATAGCAGTTGCAATGGAAGATCAGAAATGAATAGAACAAAAATAATCAATCTTTATCATCCCAAAAGCAAAATACAACAAAAACAAATGTAATATTAAGAAAAGAGGAATGAACAAGAAAGCAGAGACACCTTTTCTTTCTTTCCTTTCTTGAGTGTTCTAACCTCCACCTTCCACCCATCAGGAACCCAATTGGGCAAACCTCTTTTCTTCCCCATCTCACCTAAATTATCAACTAACCCCACTAATCCTCTCCAAGTACCCCAAAAAACAAAAAAAACAAATAAAAATCAAATCTTGCCAAAAACTGTCCTAAAGCATAGGGTGGGGTTAGTCGATTTGCTCTTCCTAGAACAATCAGTTGGTCCACTTGCTAAAGCATAAACAAGCAAAAGCTTCATTGTCTCAACATGAATCGCGCAAAACCTAGGCAGCTCTTGAGGGAAGAGTATATGCAAATTGTAAAGCAATTAAAAAAAAAAAAACCTAAAAAGCCCTAATTTTTTTCAAAAAAATAAAGCTTTACCTGCAAATTGTTGTTCCTTTGGATGGTTAGAATAGAAGAATCGAAAGTTCAAAGTACTGCCGTCGGAAGTTGAAAGTTGCCGGAGAAATTGATTGTTCCAATCAAAGCAATTTTTAATTTTAGGGAAGTATGAAAGCTTTCTGCAGTAGAGTGAAGAGAAACGTGAGATTTGATAGAGGGGAAGGGAGTGGAAAATTTGTTTATTTAGTAGGGGGATTGTTTTATATTTTTAAAAAGATTATAAGTTTTGAAAATGTTAATTAAGTCCACAATTAACTTAATTTAGTGTTTAAGTATGTTTGACCTTTTGTTGGTCAATATAGTCACCAATAACTAATTCAAAACTTAAAGTATACCTTTCCTTCAATTTTCTCGAAATACCTTCTCCCAAATTACTTTCAAATCTCTTTCGGCATTAGGCATTGTAAGTTGCCGCCGCTACTCTTTTTGCAAAGTAAAATTCACTCTCAGAGGCAGCAGCTGAAAGAGCAAAAATGGAGGTTTTGAAAACCAGAAATCTACACCGGCAGTAAGATTTCTTCTTCCTATTGAAATCACACTTAAATTTCAATGCTAAGAATGCAACAATGAGACTCAAAAATCCAACAAAGAGAACTCCTTCAGCTCATGGCGATGTTACCCAAGAAGCTTTCCCCAAAATCCCTCTTAAAGCTTCTCAAATCCGAGAAGAATCCCAACGCAGCACTCTCCTTATTCGATATAGCTTCTCAACACCCAAATTACACTCACGACTCCATTATCTTCCACCATATTCTCAGGAAACTATCCGACCAAAGATTCATCCCTCACATGACCCGAATCGTTGATATGATTCAAACCCAGAAATGTTTATGCTCTGAGGATGTTGCATTGACTGTTATTAAAGGGTATGCGAAGAATTCCATGGTTGATAAAGCTATGGAAGTTTTTCAGAATATGAAGAATATTTTTGGTTGTATACCTGGGGTTAGGTCTTTTAATACATTGCTTAATGCTTTTGTTGTTTCGAATCAGTTGAGTAGAGCTGAGTTGTTTTTCAAGTATTTTGGAACAATGGGTGTGTCTCCAAATTTGGAAACTTATAATGTTTTGATTAAACTTGCTTGTAAAAAGGGGCAATTTGATAAGGCGAAAGAGTTGTTGGATTGGATGTGGGAGAGTAAGTTGATGCCAGATGTGTATAGTTATGGAACTTTGATCAATGGACTTGCAAAGAATGGACATTTGGGTAAGGCCTTAGAGGTGTTTGATGAAATGTTTGAAAGAGGGTTGTATCCAGATGTGACCTGTTATAATATTCTAATTGATGTATTTTTGAAAAGTGGTGATTATGATAGTGGTAAGATGATTTGGGCGCGGTTGATAAGTGGGTCGAATGTTTACCCTAATGTGGTTAGCTATAATGTCATGATTAATGGTTTATGTAGATGTGGTAAGTTTAATGAGGGATTGGAACTCTGGGACAGGATGAAGAAAAATGCACAAAAAATGGACTTGTTCACGTGTAGTACATTGATTCATGGTTTGTGTGAATTGGGCAATGTCAATGGGGCTGAGAGGATTTTTAAGGAAATGATTGAGACTGGACTATCACCTGATGTTGTGGTATATGGTGCTTTGCTTAATGGTTATTGTAAGGTCGGGGAGATTATGAAGTGTTTTGAGTTGTGGGAGCTGATGGGGAAGGAAGATTGTCGCAACGTTACTAGTTATAATATATTGATGAGAGGTTTGTTTGAGAATCGAATGGTGGATGAAGCGGTTTCTATTTGGAAGCTTATGAATGAGAATGGTGTTGTTGCTGATTCAACATCTTATGGAATCCTAATTCAAGGGTTGTGTAACAATGGGTATCTGAACAAGGCTTTGGAGGTCTTGCAAGCTGAAAATCAAGGAGAAAGATGCATGGATTCATATGCATACTCGTCTATTGTTAAGGGGTTGTGCAGAGAAGGAAGATTAAAAGAAGCAAATGCTATACTTGATTTGATGGCTAAACAGGGATGTACACTAAGTTCTCATGTTTGCAATGCTCTAATCAATGGCTTCATCAAAGCATCTAAAATTGCAGACGCACTCAGATTTTTTGGTGAAATGAGTAGTCGGAATTGTACGCCAACAGTAGTAACCTATAATGTGCTGATTGATGGATTATGCAAAGCTGAAAGATTTGGTGACGCCTATAAGCTTGTGGAGGACATGCTGCAGAAAGGGTGGACGCCTGACATGATAACATATAGCTTATTGATGGATGGCCTTTGCCAAAGCAAAAAAGTAGACCTGGCCCTGAAGTTATTGAGTCAAATTGTTAGCAAGGGATTCAAGCCTGATGTGACCATGGTTAACATTATAATTCATGGCCTTTGCTCTGCTGGAAACCTTGATAACGCATTGCAGCTCTTTTTGAGCATGAGCCAATGGGAATGTCTCCCGAATCTCGTCACATATAACACCCTTATGGAGGGATTTTATAAAGCTAGAGACTGCAAAAACGCTTCAGCAGTTTGGGCTCTCATTTTAAAAGGTGGGTTTCAGCCCGATATTATTTCTTATAATATTACTCTTAAGGGGCTTTGTTCTTGCCATAGAATGTCGGATGCCATATTATTCTTTAGTGATGCCCTTAATAGGAAAATCCGTCCAACTGCAATTACATGGAATATACTTGTCAGAGCAGTTATTTATGGCTGAGCTCTAACACGATATTTATGAAGTACACACCCGGTGGGTTTTTGATACCAATTTCTAACCTGAGCATGAAGTTCAGCTGCAGGTCTAATCTCCTTTCTGTTGCTCTTCAGTATCCTAGATTTGCTTTCCTGCATATGTAACCTCACAATGTACTAAGAGAAGCATATCTTCATGGTTGCAGGGCTGCCATTATTACTCTCACTATCAAGCCAAGTTTGTTGGACCTGTATATGATATTTCTTGTTTTAAGTTGTAAGTGAGCTCTCTACTCAAGTCAGGTGAGTAGATGATTTTGCATTTTGGCAAAATGGGATATCTAACCAGAAGCACAATGCTCTGCTAATCAGGTGTGTTTTTCTTTTCAGAAGCAATTTAAGATTCTGTGGTTGATACAGGTTGAATGGTATTCTTGTGATTGAGAAGCTAAAATACTGAATTTTGAAAAAAATATGCTGCCAACTCAATTCTAGCTGAGTGGCAGTGAAAACTTCCCTGCATCTCCTATCTACTGATAACCTTGATTATGCTTTTGTTTAGTAAAGTACTAAACTTTATTCCATATGTCTTTCTGGTGCAGAAAAATGAAGGGAAAGTAGAGGCAACCAAGATGTTTGTGCAACAAAATTGGGCTGTTTATTGGGATGAGATATTCTTAATGTTAAGGTATTGTTATTGTCCTTGGATTTCTTTTGCTATCTACACATGTTGGTAAAACAAAAAAATATCATCCAAAGAATTGGTTATGGGTACGGCAGAATCAAGCTTATTGCCTACCTGATTGGGGAGGGGACGTGGGGGTTATTTATGATTGTCATAGATCAAATCAGACATCTCCATTTTGAAGATGTTTCCCTTGATTATGCCACCCTGGGTGTTCCGTGCAAGCAGGATTTTTTTTTGTCAATTTGACTTTGCAGTGTTTCTTTTAGACCTTGGAACTCTTGAGGGAAATTGTGCATGCACTAAGTAGTGTTGTCAAAGGTGCGCTTAAGCCCTAAAGCGAATGGCCTGCTTGTGAACCAGGACCAGTAGCAGTTTGTTACCTAAGTAGTGTTGTCAAAGGCGCGCTTAAGCCCTAAAGCGAGGCTCAAAACGTGTTGAGCGCCTCGCCTCGCTTTAGGTGTGCTTCAGTGTTGTCATCAAGGTTATAAGGCATACTTATCCTTGCCAATGAGCCTCTGTTGATGAGGCGACACTAAATAATTGATATTTCACATTATTATAATTTTTTTTTTTTGAATTTCTTTGTTCATGTATGTGTCATTCATGCTTATAATTGTTAGTTTTGAACCAAACATATATATTTGTATCTTTTTTCTCCCTTTGTGCCTTTTTTCATTAGCCTATGTTTTATTTGCACTTTTTGCTTAAAGCTCTAGTGGACCTTAGAGCTTTTTTGTGCTTTTCACCTACTATACCTAACATAAAACATAAGTTGCTATGGGTTCGTATCTTTGTAAAGAAGCTACAAGTTTTTCAAATTAGAGAAAATGTGAAAGGCTTAAATGAAGTTAGGAAGAAAGATTATTTGACTCACATTTTACTTCACTGACATTTTTTAAGACAGAATTGCTATCAGATTGTAAAACAAAAGGATAGTACTTGGGATCACTAGATCGACCATTCGAAATAGCTACATTATTGTTTAGGGAAAAGAATTCACAATCCATTTAGGAACTTAGTGAAGCAGGGACTTTGATCATAGCTTCTACTTTTGTGCTTGAGATATGCTGCTGATATTCATATTTGGATTTCGGACTTCTATCCCTTAGTGCTAAAAACACCGACTATTTTTTGGTTATCAAGCACATAACTCTTTGATTATTAAACATTTTCTTCAAATAAAAATGTTACATTCCAATTCTTCATCAAATAATGTTACATTCCAATTGAACGAAGGCCTCCAAATATTTCGTCGCCTCTTTATAAATTATCAAAATTAGAGGTTAAACTAAATTGTGTATTAGTCAATGTTATCAAAGGCACGCTTAAGCCTTGAAGAGAGGCTCAAAACGTGTTGAGTGCTTCGGCCTCGCTTAATGTGTGCTTAAGTGGCGTCATCATGGTTCTAAGGCATACTTTCCTTGCCAATGAATCTCTTTTGAAGAGACGACACTAAACAATTGATATTTCACCTTATCGCAATAATTTTTCAATTTTTTTGTTCATATATTTGTCATTCATGCTTACAAATTATTAGTCTTGGATTAAACATATATACTTATATTTTTTCTCCCTTTGTGCCTTTTTTTATAAAGCCCACACTTTATTTGCGCTTAACCTTAGAGCTTTTTTGCGCTTTTTGCTTTTGATCACACTGGTATCAGGGTATTACTTCTTACTGGAAATGAGAAGAGAATGTTCCCACCAGGCTACTCTATAAGTGTTATCTTTTGATTTTGCCCAATTTTTTTTTCCGTTTTACCCCATTCATTATTGAGGAAAAAAGAATTGGCAGAACCTTTTTCAAAATTAAAGACAACCGGAAAAAGTGAACCAAATTATTTTTGGTTAGGTTTTGGTTTTCTCATTCACAAATTGAAAAGCAAAACAACTGAAAAAAAATATGAAAAACTGAACCGACCGGTGCCCACCCCTATCTCTATAAAGTATAAGTTGACATGTCCTATGTTGTTGATCAATATAAAGCATCCTACTTGTATCCAACTTTGGTGGCTGCAGTTGCCATGGGACTTGGATACGCTGATGCAAGAGAAAAATTGGCATGATATATCAGCCTCTAATAATAACGTTTTATTTGAGGTTATAGCTCATGCTACATTAATATTTAACATTTTGCTGTTTTTGTACAATCAGTGGAAGAGATGATTTCACCTTTTTTCTTCTTCAGATGTCTGCTTTTGCTTTGTTTCTGTTTCTGACAACACTTTCTGCTCGTAGATGACTTGAGAAAGCAAACCCACCAAGATCACTCCAAGAACTGCACTCTTTCCCAGGTCAGACGGTGAAGAGATCAAGGCATTCATAATCCCAACTACCACAAGGCCCATAAGTGCAAGGTAGATATTCTTTCTAGTATTTGACTCGGCAATTTCTTTATTGAGTTGCTTCATCTTCTCTGTTTCCTTCTTATCTTTTGCTTTATCCACTGGTTGTTTTTGCCCTAAGTTCTTAAAGAAAAGCCCTTCATTTTTCTCCTCCTCCATTTGGTCTACAAAGTCCGCCAGCTTCTTCTCGTTCTCTTCGATCCCCTGTTTGTTTAACTCTACTGATTCTTCAAAAGCTTGCATCTGGCTCTCTATATTTCCCATTATCTGTACCAAAAATAAAGGAAAAAAAATAAATCAAAAGCTGTGTATTTGGATGAATTAAAATTTTTCATTTTCTGTATGACAGACCCTTTCACCAGCTTCATCAAGCTCTTTGAGGGCGTTTTCACCAATTTGGTCAATCTCAGTATTGGCATCTTCAGCAAACTGTGATAGATAAGCAGATCTTTCGTCTAAATAATCAGTTAGACGAACTTTTTGTGTTTGAAGCTGGGCTATCCTTGCAAGCAGTTCCTGCTGACGGGAGTCTCCTTGAGGCGGCGTAGGTGGAGTTTCTTCTGAGTCTGAATTTGAATCATTTGGTTTGCAGAGGCAGCGAACGAGGTCTTTCCTTTGGAAATGGCTTGTTCTGTTAAAAAATACATGTTGATTTGGTGTCATAGAATAGTGAATTGGTTTTAGATGAATCATCCTTTGAAGTTGTGTTCCAGTTTGTTGGGAGAATAGCTAGTGCTATGTAGTGAGTGTTAACTATGAAAAGGTAAAGTGTTTGTGTACCTCTGATTGAATGTACCTTATCCATTTTATTTCCAGATAATTTAGAAACAAAAAAAGAAATGGGTCATTTCATTATTTGTCTGTTTAGTCATTGTGGGCCGTGAAGGGGAGTTTACACTTGTAAAGGAATACTTCTATATTTCAAAATATAAAGAAATAGATATACAAAGAAAAAAAATAAGAGTATTCAACCAATATAGTATATATATACGTAAAACAAAAAGTTAACTAGCTATTCAAAAGGGTTTTGCTGACATAAATCACTCTTTCTTAAACAGTTAAACCAATATTTCTTATGAAGGGTGGGGGTACCGAGGGCGAACTTATCGATAACAAAAAAAAAAATGTTTTTGCTGGAGGGTTCTTGATGTTTCGAGTCAAATGAAATTGAAAATACCTTTTTCTAAAAAATATTTCAAAAGTGTGGCTAATCTCATTTTTCATGTTCACGTGCTCTCTCTATATATATATGGCTTTTGAATCTCTTGAACACATAGTGCACAAAAAGAGAAACTTGGTCTTACTTCTATTGCTAAATTAAGGGCGTTTTCTTTTATGTTTGTCACTTAAAATAAACGCTCACATTGATATAAGCATCTTCACCACATGTCAAATAAAGTAAATGAACTAAAAGATGTTGATCATACAAGCAACAAGTCCAAGCTTGTAACACATTCCACTTACTCCAAACTGGGATCATATGAAGATGCATTTGACCTATAATATTAGCATTAACATCTATGAAAGATGCTACGCGACATTTGGAACTTGAGGAAGAAAGCCTCGAGATGACCATGGCCAAAAAGGGGATCATACTAACGGACAAGTCTCAAACAAGACTAAGATTAATCAAGAAAACGTTCACCTAGGAACATAACTGATGTTTATAAAATAAAAATTCATGGATAGATCAGAACCATCGGAACTAGCAGCAGTTGTAATCCATATCTACAGAAAGTTTGCATCTTCAGAAGAATAAACGCGATGATGTTTAGAATTTCCCAGTAACCTTCTTGTAAGTGTACCATTTGGAGATCCAGAGATAGACGAAAAAGTTGATGATGCTGAGGAATGCCAATAGCCAGTAAAAGTAGTCAAGGTGGCCTCTGTTCAAGTCATCTGGAATCCATCCAAACTTCCCGTGCCTTGTGGTCACATTCATCACGATTGTAACGAGGAGAGAACTTAGGTAACTACCTAATGCAGTAGTTGTAAGACAGAGGGCTGAACACAAACTTCTCATGGCATCAGGAGCCTGGTCATAGAAGAACTCCAGCTGACCAATGAATGTGAACACTTCCGCGCATCCAATCAAGAAGTATTGAGGAACTTGCCAGAAGATGCTCAGAGGAACGTATTCGAGGTCATAGTAGTTGTTCTTCCTTACCATGTCAAGCCGAATGGTCTCCAGAACTGCAGCACAAGCCATGGCAAATACTGAAATAACAAGACCAATGCCCATTCTCTGCAGCTGAGTGAATCCTCTTTCGTGGCCTGTATACTTTCGTGCCATGGGAACAATGACACGGTCATATACAGGCGC